CCGGGCAGCCCCAGCCGGAGAGGGGCGGAGGCGCGGACACCTCCGCCCTGAGGTGCCGCGGGGGCTCCAGGGATCCCCGTTCTCCTCTGCCTCCTCCTCCCGGGCACCAGAAGGGACAGCAGCGGCCGGGTGGCCGCGGTGTAAGGGGAGGGTTAAAGGCGGCTGCAGGGCCGGGGCAGCGGGAGGCGCCGCGGGTCCCTGTCCCTGCCTCTGGATTTTGGGGACCATCGGGCGTAGGCGGCCAGCGGACACCCCGCGGGAAGGCTGTGCCCTGCCGCCCTCCCTCGCAGAGGGAATTGCTCGCCGATAGTTGAGGCTGTGAAAGTAGGCGGGAGCTGCAGGGAGAAAGCGGGACACTGCCTCGGGGTCTGTGCATTAATGGTAGCCCGGCTCCTCGGCTTCAGGAGCCAGGCTTAGGAGCCAGCAGAGAACGAGTGCTTCGTGTGCAGGGAGACGTCCCTCCACACTCATCTTAGTCTCAAGGGCTTGCCTGAGGTGCCAGAGAAACCAAAGGACTGGGTGTGTGTGAACGGTATTCACATTTATGGTTACTGGTTTGTCATAAACTCTGTTTTCGTCCTCGTTAGGCAAACGCAGGTCGGTAAAGTTTAACCAGTTGCAGCAATCTGGGCTTCATGTTGTGTCTCTGACAAGAGCGCTCAGTACATCAGCAGAAAGGAGCCGAGCAGGCACAGGGCAGGGCTGGGTGCGTGCTTCCTCCAGAGACTGCTTTCCCCCGGAGAAGATCTGCAATTACAGCAAAGAGGCTGTCACACCTAGGGCCGGCAGAGTTGTCTGCACACCCTAAATCACCCCCTTACATTTGCACACCTGAAGAAGACTGGGTGGTGCACACGAATGAGTGATGCAGCAAAGACCCTCCAGGTCTTTGGAGTTCTTTCAGTGACCCAGGAGTGAGCAGTAAACTTGGTATATGTTTGTAAAGTAACCCTCCCGAGCGACTAGCACTTAAAGGCTATTTCAGGAACCATGCTGCTGTATCTAGTTTTTAATCAAAGGAGGAAAAAAAATACGCAAGCTCTATATTTTTTTTGTTGTTGTTCAAGCCTTGGCCCTGTTTAATCTCCAAAAGACAAATTCCTCTGCTGTCAACAGCAACACCTCTCTATGCACAAACCTCACTACAAATACCTCAGTTCGTGTGCCATCGAACCTCCTGAGATCAAGAGATCTTAATTTCTCTAGTCAACCCTGAAACCTTAGTCAAAAGTAAGAATCATTCACACATTACTGAGTTAAAAGCTGGAAACTGCCTTTGCCTGTCAATACGTGATAAATAAGTTATTGTTATTTCCCGCAAAACTTCTTCCATGTGAAATGCACAGTCTGTAGAAGATCCAGAAGAAAGCCATCTCATTCTGACAATGTGGAATGCCAATAGAATAGAAATAGAGTAAGAGAAGAGAGTATTTTGTTGGAAGGGACCTAAGAGGACCAGCTAAACCACAGGAACTCTGGTTAAAGACACTGACATAGTAAAAAGATTGCCTTTTCCCAAATGCTAACTTTTATCGGCAGCTTTAACTCTCATTCAAGAATGGCAGCACTTAACATTTAGAATTTTCTGGTGCTTTTTATCTACACTTCCAGATCACTAATGCCTCATTCACACCTAACAAAAGAGTTGTTGTGATCTAATTCGAATGTATGATGTCATCTTCAAAGCCTTCCAAGTTTGAGTGACGTTTCTCTGCACCGAACAAAAGTAACAGGTTGCCTTGCAACTATTGACAGGTTCTTACCAAGCTCCAAAAAGCAGCAATGAAATACTTCTTGTCTTGAATGATGTACCTTAAAGTTGGTAAGGTGTTGGGCATTTCTCTAGGAGCCATGGGCAAGTTTGCGTGTGTTTATTTAGTTAACCCTTCAATTCTTGGGTCTTCTGAAGGCTGTCAATGACAAGTGGGGACTGACATCTGAAAAGACAGCAGTTTTTTTCTCTAAAACATATTTCTGTCCTGTAAATTGCAAATGGCAGCATCTTCTGATGTGATAGCTGAGAAAAGCACTCACTGCTGCTGTTAGTTTCCTGCAGCACACTGGGTTATATTTCTTCCCTGTTAAATAATATGTGGAATTTATTGGTGCATCAAATAAACAGGAAAATTTGAAAGAAAAGGCTTTTGCTTTTGAAAAGTCACTGAAATTAGAAAAATGGTTCTAATTAGTTCATGTTTCTGAAAGAAAACATCCACTGACAAAGAAGAGAAGAGCTAGAACTGGTTTTCAGATTATTAATTTCTGCTTTAGCAGATAAAGGAGAAACGAAGGAAAAGGAAGGGGAGCAGTATGTTAAAAGGGTTCTGTCATCTTGGGAGACTGATCTCTGCCCCTTCTGCCTGTTGGTAGGAAAGAAATAACAACGGCTACAATGGAATTATAAATACAGATCTCTGGGAAGCTCTCACTTTTTCACAGCTCTCATATTCTGGGATGATTTGTTATTTTTTCATCAACACTTTCTCCTACATGTTGAGGTTCTAGAAGGTATGTGTGTATGCAGGCAGTTAAGGCAGAGTACCTGCAATTTCTGTTTTCACCTCCCATGTGGGAACTTGTTTGCCTGGAATTAAATTACTGGACTCAAACACCAGGTATATGGATTAAGTTCTTTGGTCTGGTTCACACTAAGGTCATTCTTCAATAGTCCTTCTGGCCTTAAAATACTCACCTCTTTCGTGAACTACTTTACAGTTTCTGTTGAGTTCATGTTTTGCTGTGTTTCATTATGTGAGAAGCTAAGATGCTGCTCAAACAGAAATCTGTGTATTTCAAAAGTCTAGTAATTCTTTTTCGTAAAACATTCCACAGATGTTTTCCCTGGAGCTTGAAATTTTGTTTCAAAGACACTTTCAGCAAATACTTCCATGCTCAATTTATCAGTATGTTCTTTTATAAATGTGGTTTGGGGCTTGCAAATCTATGGTGTTTGATTGGTCACTTTTAGACTCTTGTATGCCTTTATTTTAACTTGTGTAACTCATCAGTTTTTGCTAAGTTCAGTGCAAGAACCTGACAGAACTATCCATCTTCCACCATTATTTTTATTACACATTTTGTAGCATTTGGGATTCCCTCTATGTTTCAAAGGCTCTTGTTTGCAATATATTTTGTCCACGTCTTCTCTAAATATTATTAGAGTCGTCAGTTGTTAAGATTACCTCT